AATTCTTTTCTACCTCAGCTATAGCTGCTTTTAGGTAATGAGTGAAATGTGTGTATGCATTCAGGAAATCATTTGGAATTAGTGTGCATGATAAAACACACATACTTCACCTTCCCAGTATGGTGTTAATGCCAATGGCTTGAGGTTAATAACAAAGCTTTTTTTATAGTGTTAGCAAAAAAATAAATTTTGTTTTCAAAACTAAAATTAAATGTTTTGATTTGGTCTTTTAATCAATTGTTATATTGTATTTAAATTCCAAGATCTGTGAACAGTAGAATTAATGAAGCTTTCTTTTCCCCTAGATTCTGTTCCATGGGTACCTGAAGACTTGGCAGTTCACCTTACTTCCTGATGGAGCATTTAAAAAAAAAAAAAATCAACAAAAAAACCCATCAAACCAGCTAACGAATTTCAGTACACATTGTAATACTACACAGAAGTGTAGTGCATGCTTTCCATACAGTTGGGGCATCTCAGTGTTCATTCTGTGCTTGGCTGTCTGTGTTTCACAATATTTGCAGGAAATTAAGCATCATTCTGACTTAACCTCTGTCAGACTTGGTTGAGATTTGTCAAGGACTTGGAAAAAAAAATTGTTAAAGATTGTTGATTTTTCTTTAATTACTGAAAATATTTTAAAAAATATTTTAAAAATATGAAAAAAAGAACATATTTAAAAGCAATTCAAATAATAAAAATAAGATCTCACCTTTCATTAGGGAGTTAATAATTCCATTCCTAAGAAGGGGTTTGGCTCTGAGGACTTTGTGAATTCTTTCTTGAAGAAATGGTGTCTCGGGGTCTAGGTCTGTCTATTGCAATGTCCACACATCTGTACATATCACTCTTTCAATGTTCCTGCAGGCCCCAGTAAGCTGCTTTTTTTTTTCAATTTAATTTTTATAATTTTCCATTTTAAAAATTAGCCACCTTAATTAGGTACATACATTCAAGAGATTCTGCATTATTCTTTGCTTAGAAAGCCTGAAACTTCCTGTCTGTGTATTTTCTGTAACACAACATGAAGAATCTTATTCGTGAAAGTGACTCCTTGACATTATTTTTAATTAAAAATCCTGAGGTAACCCTTCCGAAGTTGTTGTTTCCCGCCCCTTTTAAGCAAAAGGAAACATGGAGTTCTTTTGAGAACTCTACCTGTAGTTATGAAACGAGCCTAAAGCATTTTAAAGTGTGAGCATCCTGTAATAAGATACTCTTTTCTTAGTCAAATGGCTTGAAGAATGAGTATTATACCCCCTCAAACTGCCCCATTCTTTTAAAGTGTTATATGACATTTCTGTTTTTTTTTTTTTTTTTTTTTTTTTTTTTTTTCCCTCTTTTGATGTTATTCTCTCAACAGTTCATCAGATTCGGTGGGTTTCTTTAAAGCCAAATAACCTTATAGATCTATGGTAAGATACAGCTGTATAAGCATTCTCTCCCCATCACCAAGGGCATAGAAGTGGCTGAAGTATACCTCTTGAACCAGCTGTGGCACTGCAGGACTAGCGATGGGGAAAAGCACTCAAGCACATGCTTAAGAAAGTTAGGACAAAGTTTCGCAATCATTTAATTCTGCATCTGCACGCTATCCAGGACGGATTAGTCTGTAGTCAGATCCTGGACAAATCCAGGATGATACTTTTGTCCAAATTTGCAGAGGACATTAAAACTCATGCCAGACTTATGCTGGTTTTATGTAAGACTGCCAGTACGAATTTAACCTGTCAAAAATACTGGATAGATTTGAATTGCAGAATGAGTTTACACTGGATCAGCATTTTGCACCATGTGGCGGTAGCAGCTTTGATCCGCCACGTTTGAAATTATAAAAAATTTTGCTTGGGCTCCCTAGCCAGCAGCATATTTTAGGTACCTCACATCATAGAACAGTCTCAGACATAAAAGAGGAGGGGGGGGAATGTCAGGAACATTATCCTCATAAAAAATATTAAGGCTTTATGTTAATTGAGGTTTATACCACTTTGGGATAAACTTTGGCTTGGGAACTGAATGCAGTTTAACTGGGAACTAGGGATTGCCTGAGCATTTCTCTCTGAGCTGTATGGAGACAGCCTGGGTTCACAGGTCCCCTCTGGCCAAAGTCCCTGCTCTCCTCCTCTGGCCACTTTCTTGCCTGGCTCCTTTTGAGAGTTCAGCACTGCAAAACTAGGGTTCCTCCTCCCAGGCAGCAGTCACTGGGTTCAGGGGTGTCTCCCTTCAGAGACATGCCTGCAGCACATGCTGCTTGCAGCTACCTACTCTGCACCCCCGTCTGCTCTGTCAGGACTGGGTAATTTTGATTCAGAAATGCGCTGCTGGTTTCACTCTACTACAGCAACAGTAAGAGCATTTGCATAGACAGTCCTCAAGAACAATGGTTTTCATAATGCGTTTTTATACCCCCTGTGCCATCCTGTGTTGCTGTTAGCTCGCCCTTCGCCCATGAGGATGAACTGGAAACGTGCCACCAGGGAGCCGTTGTCACCTCACGGACAGACAGCGATCGCATCTTTCCCCAGATGCTCCCTGAGATGGAGGCCAGTGACGCCTGCTGCCCGTGCTGCATGGCCTCAGCCCCACACAGGTCTCCATATCCCCTCATCGGTTCCCAGCGCTGCTTCCTCACATTGAGTGATTTTTCTCCTTTCCTTTATGAGTTTAGTGGCAGATTCCAGCCGAGGTATGGCATTGTTTATCTCTGCGCTTTAAGTGATGTAGCATTTTAAATAGGGAGATGATCCATACCGGCACTCTTCTGCTTAGGCAGGGGTCTCTGTCCTTGGCAGCAGAAGTGAATTGGCATCAGGTACACGGAAAGGACAAAAAAAAACCCCAACAAACCCAAACCGGTACTATCCCTATCTTTTTCATTTTCTTTTCTGAAAAACACAAATAAAGCAGTGTTCCTACAAAAGGTGAGATACTTTTTTGACTTACTAGTACAGAAATGGTGCAAGATTGCACCGTCCCCAGAGACACTGGCACTGGCCTGATTGAGCAGCTCATGGGGTCTTCAAAGAAAACGATGTGCAGCACTGATACACCTGAAAGTTTGATTTTCTGTTGCTGCTTGCTGCAGTTCCTACTTCAGTTTATCTCCTTTATTTGGAAGGGAGGTGAGGAGGAGGTTCTCTTTCAGCTGGAGGTGCTCGTTTTGGGGGCTCTGGGAAGAGAGAAGGAAACCCTGCTGCTGTTCAAATTTCATCTGCTCTGCTTGCCTCTGTTTTGGCTTTTTTTTTTTTTTAGGAAAATTTTGAGGTAACTTTCTCAGGTTTATGAAATTTTGTTGTGTAACGTCCGTTTGAAGTGGGAAAAAACGTTTCTGTGAGCATCCCTTTTAAAGGCTGTTCGCCTTCAGGCACCGAGCTCTGTCCCCCCTTCCCTATCCCGGGGACCCCGGTGTAACCCCACGCTGGGAGCCCCAC